AATTGCCACCTTTTGTGATCTCACTTCCTAGGTACTTACACTCTGTAACATCAAGATATTGTTACTGTCACCATTGCCACCTTTTGTGATCTCACTTCCTAGATACTTGCACTCTGTAACATCAAGATATTGTTACTGTCACCATTGAAATGAAAATTTTTAAAAGTATTTTCCATTGTTGTCTATTTGTTAAAGATATTTGGGCCTATTTTGGTAATATCAAGAGGGATACAATTTTATTGCCAAATAAAATTTTCTTTTATGTTTTATGTACAACAGAAAAAAATAGTTTTTATATTTATATGTGCTTAAAAATAGTTTACATGATTGAATATGTTTAAATGTCTTAAAATGTTTAGAAAAAATTGAATACAATGCAAATCCCTCATTTTATCTGTAATGCTTCCTATCACTATTCAATGCATTGATGTATGTATGTATAGATTTCTAGGTAGAAAGAAATGTCAAAATGTGTATATTTTGCAACTGATGTTTAAATGTTTTTCTATTTAGATGAATCAAGATAATGTGGCAATCAATTACAATGTTAACATGCTTGTGTGTGTGTAACTTGGTAAAGTCTACCTATACATGTTTATTTTGTTTCTTTGTATTGATTGTGGCCAGGGATAAAAAAAAGCAAACTGCATTACCATCGTAAGTCCATATTTTCTAATGGGCCACCATCAATGCCACTAGAGCAGGGGTCAGGAACCTTTTCGTCTGACAGAGCCATGGACACCACATATTTTGAAAAGTAATTCTGTGAGAGCCATACATTATGATTAAAACTAAAAATTCAAGTAAATGTGTGCATTTTGTGTAATTTCAACACTAAAAATGCAATAATTATGTCTCTGAATTCTTTTTAATAACATTGTTATGCTGTTGCTAATCAATAATGAGCATTTCTTACCATTAATGCGACTTTTTTTTTTATAATCGATCATTTTTATGCGAGCCAGATGCATTCATCAATAGAGCCACATCTGGCTCGCAAGCCATAGGTTCCCGACCCCTGTGCTACATCCTAGAAAATCAAAGAAACGTCATAGAGATGTCAGATTAAACATCTAATGGGCATCACGGAAAAATCGTAGAAACATCATTAAAACATTATAGGCATGTTATAGAAACATCATAGGTACATCACGGAAACAACACAGAAACGTCACGGAAACAACACAGAAACATCACGGAAACATGATGGAAGCATCATAGAAACGATTACTAGAAATTTGATCGAACGGAAATTTGGTCCGAATCTTTCTTCAGTTCACACGTTTAAATTTTTAGTCAAATTTATTTTTGATCGCACTATACTATTTAGTAGAACAAAAATTATGCGTTCAAAACCAAATTTGAAGCAAAATTTTAACGTAAAAACTGAAGAAAAAAAAAGATTCGACCAAATACCCATCGATCAATTCACCGTTGACCAAATTTCTTTGAATCAAATTTCCAGATACGCATAAGAAACATCATGGAAAAATCGTGGAAACATCATAGAAACATCATAGACACATTCTGGACAATCATAGAAACATCACAAAAACATCATAGACACATCGGGGACACATCATAGAAACATTACAGAAACATCATAGACACATCAGGGACACATCATAGAAACATCACAGAAACATCATAGACACATCAGGGACACATCATAGAAACATCACGGAAACATCATAGACACATCCTGGACACATCATATAAAATCACAGAAACATCATAGACACATCAGGGACACATCATAGAAACATCACGGAAACATCATAGACACATCCTGGACACATCATATAAAATCACAGAAACATCATAGACACATCAGGGACACATCATAGAAACATCACAGAAACATCATAGACACATCCTGGACACATCATATAAAATCACAGAAACATCATAGACACATCAAAGAGCGACAACAACAACTGCAAAACGGAGGATGATTTCAAACAACCAGTTAATATTATATTAAGATCGGCCACCAAGCATGTGATTGTTGAAAGAGTGTCCAAAACTTGATACTTGTTACATCTTATGGGGCATTTAAGTTGGTTGCAAAAGATATCAAGCCTTGTGATATGAAACATTTCAACTGGACTTCCGTTTTTGATCTTTAGTCAGTTTATGAATCAGATCTCACGGGAAATTGCAATAACAATTTTTAGGAACCTAGTAGTATCCAGACGTGTTGACAAAATAACGGATAAGGTGAAAATACCTCTGTTACACTTTCTACCTGTGGACATCTGTTACATTGTTTTTTTTAAAAAGCCGATTGGTGCAGCCATTTGTATACATCCCAGTTCACTTGATAATTTGACTGACTCCTGCCTGTTTTTTTTTTGTTTGTTAACTTGAACTGGCTTTTTACGGCATTCACAACCACTGCTGGCTAAAACCTATTGAAGTAGATAGCTGTGATCGGAAACGATGCTTTCTGTAACACAGCTAACCTACTTTACAATTAGACTTTATAAAAATTAAAAAAAAGAGACAGTTAAAAAGTAATGGAATGTAGAATAACAGCAATCTGCAGCTAAGAAAATGTCAATGGTTTTGTTTTGCCCGTCTATAGACAATGCTTTTATAGGAAACGTTCTTTTGGACACGATTCCTTTCTTGTGTGTGTTTATATAATGCTTCTGCTCTCTCTCACTCTCTCTCTCTCTCTTTCTCCGCTAAATTTTTCTTCGTTCCATCCCATGGACATTTACAATATACGATTTTTTTTTCATAAAAAAAAAAATAATTTACTTTAAGCAATCAGTCATTTCTTTTATTATATATAATCACAATTATATAAGATGTATCAAAGATAAAAAAAAAAAAACTATTTAATATTTTTAATTATATTTTTAGCAGAAACTTCTTTTTTTTCTTTCCTTTTTTTCTTCTTTTTTTTTTTTTTTGAGGGGGGTGGTGAAGCTAAAATCTAATACTATTTATACCCCGTAAAATATTGGGGGCAACGATGCGTTCTATGATCAGATTTATTTACGCGTCCCAACATATGTGGGACATCTATGTGACCTCGACACCACATGGCATGAACATCATGCTCTCCTTGACTTGTTACTTTTTTGTTTGTTCGCCCCCTAATTTTTTTTTTTGAGGGGGGTGGTGAAGCTAAAATCTAATACTATTTATACCCCGTAAAATATTGGGGGCAACGATGCGTGAACTTCCCATCTACTTTTAAGTTACTTGCCAAAACATGAACTCAAGTAACGCACATTTAAGAATCCCAAATTTTGTTACAGTCCTTCCCCCATTGGTACGTCACAGCACACTTTTTATTTCACGCCCGTGAACTATATCAAATAGTCTGATGTCATAGTACAACAAATTTAATTTCATTACATTCTCCGAAGAGAAAATATTACGCGCCAAACGCAGTTTCTTTATATATAAAAAAATATCATTTAGCGCTGTTATTTTGGGAATTATATTTTGCGCGCTATTGAACTCATAATTGAACCATACTTTCTTTCAAACATTTAGAATTATTTGTAATTATACTCTCAATACCAAATTCGCTGATTAGGAAACAGCCAGAAATGGAAACAGTCCACGAGTCTGACCAGAAATGTAATATATATATATTTAATAGATGTCACTTTGGTGTATGTTATAGCACCGTTTGTAAATGTATTTTTTCATGAACTCGGAAATTCATCTCAATGAAGGAAATGCCTATCAAGACTCCTTTAAATGTATTTTAACATTTTAAAAAAGAGTAAAATATTGCAAACACCTCAATTAAATCATACGAAAAGAAGGTGCCGAAATCATAATTTAATTACTGAGTATTACTGAAATTAGACTTTCAACACACAAAAAATGACATGTAGTTGTAGCCATAATTCCTCTCTTGGGCGTCTTGTGACGTTGGAAATATATCAACAGCGTGAACTAATATGTCATCTATAATTATTATTCGATAACTACAACGGGGTCATATGCTCTCCTTCAGAGGTAAATTACTGTAATCGTCTTCAACTTCACAGCCTTCTCACATCCATTAACACCACTCAAGTCTACTGTATGTTATTACCTGTCAAGACGTCGTTAACTCATGAATCTCAAATATTTGACGCTTTCTGTCATTTGCTTTCATTCCCAATGACAGCGATTACATTATTTTAAAAAAAGTTAACCCAAATGAACCATCCAAATAATAATGTCTATTTGCTGATAAATTAATATATTTTTTCGCGCAGATGTCCATTTTAAATAACCACACAATGGAAAGAAACCATTAAAGCTGCCGATGTAGTCATTTGGTTCATTAAATGCAATAGTACTTTTACGTTGAATGAAAAAAATGCGCTAGGTTTAAACAAACTGCTCAATGGGTGCGGTCAAACAGAAAGTATAGAGAGATATGTAATTCGGATTCCTTAAAAAGCATAGACAGCAATAAATGAATACGAAAAAAGGGAATTCAAATTCCACATTTAGTGTAAAACCCTAACACATTTTGAGGATGTTGAGGTATTTTAGCCACTCATCTTGCATCGACTGACTGGCTGAGCCATCTGAAAATTGTCTTCGCGACAAATCAAGCTGTGGAAGCCCGTGGACTTAAAATTATGAAGACCACTATAGAATACACATTTGACGGTGTAATAGGTTTCCAATAATTTGCTTATCCTCTTGAAAAAGTTTGTGGATATTAAATTGGAAAACAGAACACTTTCCACCTACACTTATTGAATGATTGATACACTCAAATGACCTCTAAAATGTGGTTGGGGGAAAATATAATATAAATGTTAGTGCTTTTGCAATGGTTTTATGAACTTAAAAGTGAATAGAAATTCAACGCAAAAAAAAACAACAACAAATAACAACAACAAAAAAACAGGTCAACATACGATAATATAATGTCAATAGAAAAGTATTATAACGTTTCTACGGTGTCATGGGAATTCAGTGCATCAAAAAAACTAATAGAGGATGACAGAGGCTTTGCTCAAGAGATTTCCGTCCTAAGCGATGGGTCTAGAAAAATATATGAGATTGTTAACTTGGAGTTTCTTTGTATCCCCATCGCCCTGTTTGGTATCGTGTCCAATATTATCAACATCACAATCTTCTACAAGCAAGGTCTGAGATACACAGTCAACATCGGCCTCACCGGGCTCGCGATATCGGACCTAGGCAGCCTCGTCGTCATAGAATGGTACAACGTCTGCTTCAATCCATTTTTCGCCGAGTCGGGGATCCCGCTGGTTCTGTTTGAATTCCAGCACCTGACCGCGGGGGTCCCCCACCTCTGCTTCACGCGAATCACAGGGTGGATCACCGTCTACATCACGGCTGAGAGATGTCTGTGTATCGTCACGCCGCTCAGAGTCAAACGACTCCTCACCCCGGCGAGATCGGCCCTGATCATCTGCTCGATCTACGCGTTCACGGCCCTGACCTTGTTACCAGAATACATGAGTATGTACATCGATTGGAAGTTCTACCCAGAATCCAACAGGACTTTACTGGGGTTGATTCAAAACTCCAGTAAGCAGAATCTCAACGGTCTGACGTCTTTCTTGTACGGTGTGTACATGCTCGTCGTGTTTGCGGCCGTCGGTCTGCTGACGGCGATCCTGGTCGCCAAACTCAAACGCAAGTCTTTGTGGCGGCGTGCCGCAGCCTCGGACGCCAATCAGTCAGGGGCGGTGTCCAGCAGGGACGCGAAGGCCATGCGGGTGGTCATATCCATCGCAATCTCCATGATAGTCCTCTTCACCCCTTCCGTCCTAATCACCATCTACACCTTTGTCGAGCCCGAGTTCGGAATCAGCGGGGCACTGTCGAACGTGTTCCTCGTCGCGTGGTCGTTCGCCTTGCTGTTTGAGGTGGTCAACTCCAGCTTCACGATCGTGCTGTATTTCTTCATGAGCTCCAAGTTCCGTAAATGCTTCCACGAGCTGTTCGCGTTTATGACAAGCCACGAGAAGAAGACATTATCGAATGCGTCAAATGGAGAGATTGAATTTTAATTTTTTTTTAAAAGTATATACAGAAAAAAACTGAAAAGATCAACTTATGTTAGGACTCAGGTGTTGGGGGTTAGGCATTAGTTGATACTTTTATACAGGCAAACTCTTTAGACAATATCCCTTGATGATTGATCTTATCTAGAAACAAAATAAGTCAAGCTGTTTGGCGAATCCTACTTCAGATCCAGTTGCAGTCTGTAGGCACATCGTACCTACCTGGAGCCAATAGCAGGGCATTTCAAGGGCGGTAATCTTTATGAGAACGTCAAACTTCTCATAGTTTTTCCTATAAAATGTTTTTAAACTTATTTCATTTCTTATAATAGCTCTAGCCCTTTCAGCAGCTTAGCATATCTGATAACTCTGTTTGGTTTCGTCTATTTGACCTGCTGATTAAATAGATTTAAACTTAGCCGTGCGACTCGTTGTGTACTCTCGATCACTTCGGTTATTGCTTTGACAAATCATTTGCAAGTGAGTAAATAAACGACTTTGTTTATCAACACTAAAGGAGAAAAATAGTGAGTTATCTTGAATCTTTGCTACTAACTAAATCCTGAACGGTGGGACGTGAGAGACACGTATATCGTATCCTGCAACTTGAACTTAACATTGAATGCTTGTGAACAACAACAACAGCCTTTCGTATGTCTTTTAAAAAGTCGAAACTTTTTCAAGCACTGAAAATATAATTTTGCAGTATTCAATAGGGCGTATCACAAGATAATTCACTAGGAGTAAGGACGCAAATGACACAAATGATATGTGTTAGTCCAGCTAACCAGACATTAACACCAATCAATGCGGATCGTTCCCATGGCATTGTTCATACTTGGTTGGACTTAAAGTAGCATTTCCAATTAGAATATCAATACTATAAGTAAATGAATTATAAGACCATATTTGAAATAAAATCAATCATACAATCATGGGACTTAATTTTTTTTAAAGAATAAAGCTTAATATATCTTTAATTATCCCTTGCCGTTGTCATTGTTGGTTTGGCGATGATAAGTATAGTAAAGTATTTAGTATAGTAAATTATTGACTAAGAGTACGTTAATAAGTATAGTTTGTAAACGGGTATAGTACACTCATCCTCGTCTGATGATACAAGCGTATTATTTCGGATATTCCAAAACCGTTAATTAAATATGGAATATGAGAGGCCGGTTGTTCTGCCCTCAGGCCGCTGGAAGAAATCCCATCCTGGCTCTTTGTGCGCAGCGTCTTCATCATCGCGTTACTGAGACCGATACCTCGTACATTAAACCAATCATTCAAATGTTTAGGTTTAGCCTATGAGGCACCGTTTCATTCAATCGCGCTTTATGAATGCGGTGTGCGTCTGCGTGTACGGCGGCAATAAATATAAATTGAGCGAATATGAACATGTAGTTTATGATTACGAAGACGTCAGGCCAAAAGACATCGGTGCAATTACCGGGAAGTGCTGAGAAACGATGGAGATTAAACGTTCGACCCTTGAGATCGCTCCTTTATATAGAGTACTTTACGTTATTTCCAGGTTGCAATCTTTATACTATGGTCTTAATGAGTTTGCATTGATTGAAACACACGTAGGAAAAACTTTTTGCGTGAGAAATAAACAGGAGGGTATTACTGTTAAGCTTCAGTGAGACGAAGCGTGCAACCACCTTGTCAACCACGAAGCATTCAACATTATTTAAAAAAAAAAATTAATAATGACATCATTAAGCTTGTTGCTCGACGAAATATTTACGTTAAAAATTATTTCTCTTCTAAAGCTGTGATAAATTTAACGCCCTGTTAAAATTTAACCAAAGACTTTAAATTCTGAGGGAATTATGTCGTTAAAAAATAGCTCCGAAATTTTAATGGAGTATTTTAAGGAAAACACAACGCACCCACAAAAAGGTGAAAACATGGACGTCGTGGTTGAGGACTGGCGCGACGTCAGCGATGAGGCGCGACACCTGTTCGAGATAGTCAACCTCGTAGTCATCAGCACCGCCATCGCTCTGGCTGGCATCGTCGCCAACGTCATCAACATCATCATTTTCTACAGGCAGGGCCTGCGAACAACGGTCAACATCGGCTTCACGGCCCTGGCCGTCTCGGACCTGCTCAGCCTGGTCACGCACGAGTGGTACTTCCTCTGCTTCAACCCGTTGTTCGTCAGCTCCGGGCTGGACATTGTCCCGTCCGAGGTCCAGCATCTCACGGCCGGGTTCCCCCACACGTGCTTTAAGCTCACCACCGCGTGGATCGCCGTGTACATCACGTTCGAACGTTGCCTGTGCATCACGTCACCGCTGAAGGTCAAGCGCATCCTCACGCCTAGGCGCACGAAGCTGGTCGTTTGGGTCATCTACTGTGTTATGCTTCTGTCACTGCTGCCCGAGTACTCCACGGCGTACCTGGACTGGAAGTTTTACCCCGACGCCAACAGGACGCTTCTCGGTTTGGCGTTCACGGCCGATCGCGCTAAGATCGAGGGCGTGTCCTTCATGCTCTACGGGATCTATATGCTCATCGCCTTCCCGATACTAATCGTATGCTCCCTAATCCTAACGACAAAACTGAACCACAGTTCGAAATGGCGCCAGGAGAACTCGAGCCTGGGGAAGTGCCTCGTCAAGGAAAAGAGAACTCTGAGAATGGTTGGGGTGATGTCCCTCGTGTTCATCGTCACCTTCACCCCGGCCGTGTCCATCTGCACTTCGGTCTTCGTCGAGCCGGAGTTCAGCGTTGTGGGGCGCCTGAGGAACTTGTTCTTCGTCGTGTCGTCGTTCGGTTGCGTCTGCGACGCCACGAACTCGAGCGTCCCGATTCTGTCTTACTACACCATGAGCTCCAGGTACAGAGAGCAATTTCGAGCCCTGTTTGCCGTGGACCATCCGACAAAGTCCGTAGAGGGGAGTGACAAAAGAAGCTCAGATGTGGTACCCAGCAACTCGATACTATAGTGAAGGAAATCATTTTGACTGTCTATTCATTTATTTTATAATTTTTTTTAATAACTTCGCTTTTGTTCGTGGAGTGGATGGCTGGTAAAATATTTGGACGGCTTAGCGACCCACTTCCCATCAACCTATCGAGCTGAAACTTGGCTCATGGACTCATGTTTGATGACAACACATTTTTTCATATTTTCAGCCCTACCCCACCACACCCCATTGCTCCATATTACATTTATAAAGAACTTACGTAATACTTTGTTTTTAAGGAATGAATAATTAAATACTGATCGATTAATTATTCACTAGTTATATATATCACAATATTTTAAATGACTACATTCCATCATGAATAGATCGAAATGTATATCTGAAAGCAAATAAATTAATTTATCAGCACGTATCGCTGCTGAAATTTAACGGAAAGTCAATAAACTCAATCCCCAGAGAGTATTTCTCCCTCTATGTGCAGTGGTATGATGTAGACCCTTCTGGAAACGTAACCGAACTGTCCCATTCAAGGGTGGACGGGGGGGGGGGAGGAGTGACAAAGATAATTGGTAACATCGAAATGAAAAGGGGAGGTAAGGTTGCATGCCACGGCTCATGGTGAACAGAAAATAGGTCAACACACAGGCCATAACAGTATGTATTGCCTGGCTTACGGCAAATCTACTTTAGTCATTCTATCATGATCACAATTTGCGCATTTTTTAAACATTCAACGCATCGTGGTATTCCTGGACCTATCGCGGTTTTTTTTTTTTTTTTTTTTTTTTTCTTTTTTTTTTTTTTTTTTTTTTTTTTTTTGCTGTTGTTTTTTTTTTAGATCTTGTTAGTTACCGTACGGTATGGGTATTTCTCACACAACTTTACACACTCAAAATTGGTCGACTGTGTCTAAACTTTTCTATTTCGTTCACTCCCAGCCCCTTTTGTCCATACTGATCGACACCTTTTTACTCCTTGAATTACACTGGGTTTTTTGTTTATAATATTCTCTTGTGTTGTTTTCTCCAGCTATTTTTACGATAGCAAATACTAAATTTTAAAAAATAAAAAAAAAATACATCTCAACGACCATGTGTGTGGTCTTAAAGAAATTTATTCACAAAGAAAGTGTGTGCAATTTAAAAAAAAAAAAAAAATTCACAGTGACATTTTCGCAGTAGCAATAAAAGAAATTTTCTCACAAAATTATTACGTGCATTCTCAATAGCAACATTTTTTTTTCCATAACGACATTTTGTGTAGTTTTAATACAAGAAATTTCTTCACAACCTCACTTTGTGTAGTCTCAATCAGGAAATGTCTTCCCGGCGACAATTTACGCAATAGCATTAAACGAAATTTCTTCACAACGAACGACATTTTGTGCACAATCCATCAAAGAAATGTATTTATAGTGACATTGTGTGTGGTCTCAATAAAAGAAATTTCTTTTAAAAAATGAGATTTAAAAAAAATAAACATTAAAAAAATCCAAGCTTCATCTGGTGTAATGATGTATCAAGTCCACAAGTTTAAAAAAAAAATAAAAAATGGCCGCCTTTCAAATATCTATTACAGATACCAATGTCATAAAAAAAAAAGAAAACATAACATTTTTTTCCCCTTATTTAGCATCTATCGAAAAAACTCCTCATATTGTGTAGCATGCGTGGCATTTAACATATTTTACTTCCTACCCGACTGGGAAAACGATCGTAGAAGGTGGGTCTCATTGCTAGCAGTTGCTTTTGTTGTTGTTGTTGTTGTTGCTGTTGTTGTGTTTTAAATATGTTTAAATGGTTAATGTGTCTAAAATGTACACATCTTGAAAAGAATATGTATAATCTGTTGGTAGCCGTATTTCTCAGTGTTGACGTGTCCCATAGGGATCTTTGGTTCGTATTTGTATATATTAAATGCATCGTTGTGATTGTTTTGTTTTCTTGTTTTTTTTTAAAAGGAATTATTCCATTTACATCATTTGTAATGGAATATGCGTACTTCCCTGAGCAGAGTGCACTTCATTGAGAGTAGTGCACCTCATTGAGAGTGGTGCACTTCATTGAGGAGAGTATTGTACTTCGTTGAGAGAAGTGCACCTCATTAAGAGTGGTGCACTTCATTGAGAGTAGTTCACTTCATTGAGGGTTAGTGAATTTCATTGAGAGAAGTGTCCTTCATTGAGAGAAGTGCACCTCAGTGAGAGTAGTGCACTTCATTGAGAGTGGTGCACCTCCCTGAGACAGGTGCACCTAGCCTAAGTCAGTGCAGCTCACTGAGAAGGGTACACATCACTGAGACAGGTGCACCTTAGTGATAAGGGTGCTCCTCGCTGATAAGTGTACACCTTACTGATACGGGTGCACCTTGCTGATAAGTGAACACCTCACTAATAAGGGTGCACCTCATTGATAAGTGTACACCTTGCTGAGACAGGTGCACCTCACTGATAAGGGTGCACCTCGCTGAGACAGGTGCATCTCACCGATAAGGATGCACCTCACTGATAAGGGTACTCCTCGCTGAGACAGGTGCACCCAGCTGAAAGTGGCGCAAAACTTAACCTGTTTGCATTGATGCCAAACTAATTTTATTTTTGTGAACAAGACAGCATGACTGACCAATGTGCTCCAGTCAGTTGTGGCCAGCAGGTGATCAGATAGATAAGGTCATATTTTTCCTGTTTGATGGTCCGTTTTGCGTCACACGAGGTTTGGGATCTTAGTTTCCCTTCTGGCAGATGATTCTGCGTCCTAAGTACATAAGTTCCAAACACTCAAAAGCGACCTAAGTCAACAGTTCATACATACATCGTTGGACTGACTAGCCACAGCAAACTAGCCACAGCAAACTAGCCACAGCAAACTAGCCACAGCAAACTAGCCACAGCAGACTAGCCACAGCAGACTAGCCACAGCAGACTAGCCACAGCAAACTAGCCACAGCAGACTAGCCACAGCAAACTAGCCACAGCAAACTAGCCACAGCAAACTAGCCACAGCTCTGATCGGTGTCGTAACTAGCCACAGCAAACTAGCCACAGCAAACTAGCCACAGCAAAATAGCCACAGCAGACTAGTCACAGCAAACTAGCCACAGCAAACTAGCCACAGCAAACTAGCCACAGCAGACTAGCCACAGCAAACTAGCCACAGCAGACTAGCCACAGCAAACTAGCCACAGCAAACTAGCCACAGCAAACTAGCCACAGCAAACTAGCCACAGCAAACTAGCCACAGCAAACTAGCCACGTTCAGTAGAAGTAGTTTGTAAAGGTCTAGGTCTTAGGTGAAGCAATTTCCAAGAGGGGAACATGCTCTATAAGAGGGCAAAGTCTCCACTCTGCAAAAAAAATAATTAAGAAGATAAGGTAAGATTCGATAAGCCAGAGGGTTTTTGAGCAGTTTATCAAAGACTTTGAGAATAACAGAAATGATTTTTTTTTTAAATTGTTTTTTTAATGCCTTTGTTTTTGGATAGTGATTACAAATTGACCTTGTTTTGTCGAATCATTTTTCGAAAGCTCATTAAAAATAATTATTATTGAACCACCCCAGGACCAAAAAACAAAATAAAACAATACATTTCCACTTTTTATGGCACGAAATAATGCTAGTCAAATTTAAATCCCGATAACACAACTTGCAGACATTATTACTGCCATACTCATTCTTTCAATAGTTTAACATTTGTCTATGATCTTCTTTGATCTCGGGAGAGAAATGTGAAGTGTTGATGTTTAATTTTACATTCAGCACTTGATAAGTTTTAATGAATTGTCGCCAAAGCCAATGAAGCCGTCAAATGGTGGCACTTTCACGGGGCACTGCCACGGGCACGGTCATTGGGCACCGTTGCTCACGGAATCAACTGAAAATTAGTTGGGTAGAAAAAAAAATTTTTTTGTTATTCCCACAGTGTCAGAATGCATCATTGATGTATCAACTCGACCACTCTCTGTTGACAGAAGGTCTCCTGGGGGATGCGACTCTGCCAGCATCATGCCACAACCGAACGCTCTGCCATTTGTTTCAGTCCCTCGAAGCGCTTCACTTAATCTAGTTGAGCGCCGTCCCTGCCCCCCCTCCCCCAGCTCTCCTGGCACCAAACGTAACAGTAACCATGCGGACGTAATGACTCCGGCGACCGTCTGCCAGGCTGTAATACATTCCAGAGCTCCTCGCGTGTTTGTTGTCCACGTGCAAACTACTCTCCCTGGTCCGGGTCACACCCTTTCTTTTAAGTGTAAACTACTCTCTTCGTCATACTTTATTTAACAATGAATACTTTTTCCTTTAAATTTCATCACCCAGTCTAGAGGTTATTGTTCATTTGAATGTATGATGATTTAATAACTAATATTTTGGCAATGATGTTTATTTCGAATAGAGCATTTTTTTTTGGCCAAACCATTTATACAGGTCGGAAGAACTCCTATCATATTTGAACTTAATGGTAGATAACAATTTTAAGCTAAACTTAAATGCGTGCATCTTATCTCATTCAACAATTCATCAGCATCTGGTGCGTTTAACAATTTGACAGTAAGTTTGTAATCTGTCATGACTTTCCCCTTTCCAATGACACATTCACTTATATGATTTTAAATAGAATGTGCAAACCGATAAACCGATCAACTGTTTCTGATTTGTATTGATCAACTCCCACAGGGACACAACTCATGGTAAACAAACGTTTCCTTTACATGCGATAAGCCCGTTTTAAAATAGCTGAATTGATTTTGAAATCAAAACCCCAATCTTCCCCTCGAGCATATCCCAATAGGAACATAATTTAACCGGCTATTTGAAATTGGAGTTATGGCTATTACAGCTGAGGATAATTTTGTCTAGGAAATGGGAATTGGGTGCAGGAATCAGTCTTTGTGAAGTGGCTTTGAAAGGGGGAACAGAATTAATCGTATTAAATGTCACGAGGTCGCTCGCGAATGCTTGCGTAAGTTTTCCGTATCTCGCATGGTTTTATTATCCTGTGTTGACACTTGGAAATTATCAGAATCATTATAGTAGTTGAACTTACGTGGGAACTAGTTTGTGCTGCGTAATCAGTTCCAAAATGTTTATTGAACACATCGATCAATTAATTTTTAAATAAGACGAAAAGATAAGTTTCGTGCGCTATCATAGACTCTACTTGCACACACACACACACACAAAGCAACAAGACCAAGAAATGCATGTGCGACTTAATCATTCAGGACCGATATATGCATGCATGATTAAAGTCAACTGCGGTGTTCTTATACGCCCGGCTCTTATTTGACGAACCATCGGCAGGAGCATCGTTAAGTGACCTTTCAATTAGATTGGGGGGAGCATTCATTGTTGTATAAGCAACTGCATGTTATTTGTGTGTTGAATAATTATAATGGCCTTAAAACATTCAATTACGCGGCATAAAACACGTGCTGTGAAATTGATGAGCAAATAAATCATTACACAATTTCCTAAAACAAACATTTTATAGTGAACCAAAACTTGTTAGGGGTTCTTTTTTCCCTTTGTTTTTCAGCTTGTATGAAAATCAATGTTTACGCCAATGCCCCACATAATACTATATTTTAAAAACTATTTTATAAGTGATCTGACTAGTGTCTACAATAACATTAGGGAGATGGCAGGAAGAAAAAAAAAGATTCTACAGTCTCACTTGATGATCAGAGCACAAGATATCCAATCACAACAGATCCTTTATACTATGATATTTTAATGGAAGAGTAAGCGCTAATTGTTCATGGTATCATGTCACATATTTTCCTTCTTAGAGAAGTGTAAATTTCCAAAAAAATGAGAATATATAGTTTCTTTGCGTCCAGTTTCTAAAAAAAACAATTATTTCTTACATAAAAGGAAAAACGAATCAGATTTTCCCCTCGATCTTCAGCTTTAGTCAGTAATGTGAAGTAAAGAAACTTTTGACTTATATATTTGAACTCATATTATTAAGTTTTCGCAATTTAAGGGCCTTTTGGGATCAACTTTTTTTTTTAATGGGAGTCGACATTTTGAATAATACACTTGAAAAAATGTCAGACCTTGTCATGGCTCCACGAAAATATAATCAACTTTTGAGCGACGACACCAGACACTGGTTCGAACTGATCAACCTGGTCGTCTTAAGCAGTGCCCTGGCGCTTTTCGGGATAGCGACCAACATCATTAATGTCCTCGTCTTCTACAGACAGGGTCTCAACACGACGGTCAATATCAGCTTCACCGGTCTGGCCGTGTCGGACCTGTGCAGCCTCGTAACCCTGCTGTGGTTCAACATCTGCGAGAACCCTTACTTCGCCAAGTCCGACGTCCCGATGGCGGCATCCGAGTTCCAGCATTTGACCGGAGGGTTCCCCCACGCCTGCTTCACTCGCATCACGTCCTGGATCACCACGTACATCGCGGCGGAGAGATGCCTGTGCATGGCTTTCCCACTCAGGATCAAGGAGATCATCTCGCCGAGGAAAGCCACTGCGGTTATAGTCACGATCTACCTGTGGATGATGATCTCCCTTCTTCCAGAGTACATCACCGTGTACATAGACTGGAAGTGGTATCCCGAAGTCAACAAAACACTTCTCGGATTAAAATTCACGACCGACAGACACAGGGTCGACGGTCTCAGTTTCTTGCTGTACGCCGTCTACATGATCATATCGTTCTTCTCGGTGGTAGTTCTCACGGCCATCCTGTTCAGCAAACTCAAGCGCAAAATTGAGTGGCGCCACGGGAAAGCGTCCAGTGTCAAACCATCCGAGTCGCTGACCAGACGCGACAAGAAGACCATGCGCATGGTCGTGGTCATAGCAGGGGTTCTCATCGTCACCTTCATGCCCCAGGTCATCATCTTCACCGTCGGCTTCATCGAGCCAGAGTTCAGCGTTGTCGGGAAGTACGTCAACTTCTTCTTCATGTCGTGGTCATTTTGCTTCGTGTTCGACGCCGCCAATTCGAGTGTCAGCATCATTCTGTACTACACCATGAGCTCAAAATACAGACTGACTTTTCATGAGATTTTCTCAGAACGCAGTGGATCTCGGTGTATTAAAAACAAATGAACTACATGGGAGGTTTCACGTATATTTGGCGTGGGGGCAGGGTAATAAAAACACAAACAAATAGTTGACAATTAAAAAAAATTTATCGGTTTTATTTCGCAAACTGCCAAGTATAGAAAGAAGACAATGACTAATCATTTATTTAAACATGTTCCGTGTATCTGTTGTGGCTTTACTGTGTTAGTGTGTCTGTGTGTGGTATGGTCTTAGCATATTTTAATGGAAAAAAATTACTTAGAAACCAATCTCTTTGAGAAACCATTTAAAAAATAAAATAATATTTTTTAGCGTTTTCCTTTTGACACTGGACAACAAAAGAAATGACACGTTTTAAGTTTATATAAATAAATATATTATATATAAACGTCGCAATGGTCTCCCCAAGGAGGAGGGTTGGCTTTAGCCCAGCCACCCGCCCCGCTAAAAAAGCAAACTGCCATAGAAAGGTCAACAAGAAGAAAAAGAACAAACATTTTCAGCCCTGATACGAGAGGGCACTGCTTCCCCATTGCCTACTGAGTTATGAAACCTTGCGACCAAAGCCAGGTTACACAAAGTATGGGATACACCTGGGAGCATCTTGAAAAGGAAAACACAGGACCGAGATGAATGGAAAATTCTTGAGGACGGCCTATACCCCAGACGGGGTAAAAGGCATAAGCAAAAGTAAGACGTATATTTATTTATTATTAAACTCGTTTTAAATCTATTTTTGGCAAAAGAACAGCGGCTTTCGTGCTTACCGACCTCAATAAAGTCCTCATCGTTAAAGTGCATTCTATTTGTAAGTTGTTGTTTTTTTTCTGTTGCCATCCAAATTGTCGTCTCGGCTGCCGCTTAAAATCTCGTGCAACCTCCCGGTGTCCCGCGGGACCGTAATCTTAAAGTAATTACACCTAAAATAGTACACAAAGCTCTGGGTCCCAGGTGATGTCTTCTAACGGTCATTCTCAACAACATGGCTGTCTTCAGAAACGTTTGAAAGATGTGTGCGTGTCACGTTGCATATGTGCGTGTTACGGAGAAAATGTGCGTGTTACGGAGCAAATGTGCGTGTTACGGAGCAAATTTGCGTGTCACGGAGCAAATGTGCGTGTTACGGAGCAAATGTGCGTGTTACGGAGCAAATGTGCGTGTCACGGTGCACCGTTAAAGATGATCGTTTTGTTATATTTTCTTCAATAAATTAGTGGTTGGGGGGGGGGGTCAAAAAAATTGACGAGGTCATTTAAATATTCTTAACAAAAATGAACTGGTAACATAACCTCGTTTTTCCGGGTGCTTATAAAAGTAAGATATTTGTTTTAAAGATTTTAGTTGAAACTTTATAATAAACAAAGTGTCTTGGAAAGCATATCGGCGTTTGCACGTCAATTGTTGAGGTTTTTCTTCCCTGTACCCCGACAGTTATATGACGGAGAAAATTAAAAAAAAAATAAGGTGAACAGTCGGAAATGAGGAATGAATATTTTCTATGGCGAATAAATTACTTCTTGACATGTACGCACTCGTTCAATGAATACTTATATTGAGATGTCCGTTCTCAGCAATCAAATTTTAAAGTTAACCTCTCAAATGGCAAACATAGAATCTAGTTATGAAATGAATACTGCACTCTGTAAAGCCTATTAGATCGCGAATCTTTAGCTAATATATCAATCTGTAACAACAACAAATAAATCGTATAAATCGCGTATAAATCTCATATTTAAATTTGAAACGATGCTTTCAATTTAATAATAATTGTTTTTCCGAGCATTTTAATATTTGAATGCGTTACACAAAATGTTATCTTTGAAAAATTGGGTTTAAATTAAGGGACATACATTATTATACGTTAGATAAATTATATACTAAAAATTGGTATACTTTAAACGGCACCCCGCTTATGCCGCGACACCCTATCGGACACTAAGCGAACGGCAAGATACGAAGTAAAAGACAGCGATTGTTAATCTCTTTCTATTTTTTACGGTGTTTTAAAATATCGATATACAACACAATCGTGTTGGCAAGAAAAAGCAAGTGGAGGGGAAACATTGCTGTCAAGGTGCAGATGAGCAGATCAGCACGAGTCTTAAACAGAGCTGAAAATTCCATACAGCAGCCAAACAGACGCCATACAAAAGACATACAGAAGCCATACGGAAATCTTACAGAAGCGTCATACAAGCCACGGTGTCGTTACTGCCATGGATGCACATCAATGTATTCTTGTGTGGATTCAGTCACGATAGAAAGCCACCATTTTGATAAGAATTTTGCCAAAACTCCATAAAATATGATTCGAATTTATTTTTTTTAAAATAGGGCCCTTCTATTGATCGCCTCAATTATTTCACAAACATTGTGCTCTCTGTAAATAGTTGTTTGACCTGCAATTTTTTCCTCTAATATACTTCACTTGATTTTCAAAAGGATTTTGATCATAGAGCGCCACAGGTAAGCTTGTCCAAATTTATTTTTGGTATTCACCAATCGCTGTTTGTCAAGTGAAGGGTTGTTTAGTCCACCTTCCTATATCAAACATAACTAAAAACGTAATTTAACATCAATTTCATTATTCAGTGTGTTATTTCAACAGCTGATGTCGGCGCCTTGACAAAAGTGTAGAGAAAGTAGAGACGCGCAGGTTATTCAGCTGTCACCATTAACAATAAGCTAACATGGCCTGAGCACGGCCGAACGCTGAAGAAACAATTCAACCAAAGACTTTCCTATCTTTTTTTAAAAAAAGCTGTACAATTTCGGCGTAAGGCAACGAGTCGTTAACTTATTAAACGTTGCAACGATTGTAAGACCAATTCATTTCAGCATTGCCTTCGGGTGTGGACATTCATCGTCCGATATCAGACACCGAATAAAAAGACTGATCAAGAAAGCGGGAGGCATCACACAAACTAAACGTCCTTTACATGAAGAGCTATTTGAAGAAAATGATGGATCCCCACCCTCTTCGTCACAGAAACTTAAGATCAGTCCGTTCGGGGCGAATTCTTTCTCTCAGTGCGAGGACTCAAAGATAAATCGTTTGATCCCCAGTCTGTACGAATTTACCAGCGTGCTCCACCAGAGGTAGCACCGTCTAAATAATCACTCACTAGGTCCCTATTATGAATTAGAGAGTTCAGCGACTTGCTATTTTTTTTTACACTAGTGAAATAATTCAAGGTAGATGTCTTGTGTTTAAATTGTTTTAGTTGGAGAATGCAGAATTTATGTAACTATTTATTTATTAATGTGCTGAAAATGTATATGTATCATGTAATAAAAAAAAAAAGATTTCAATTTGTTTGGATCAATAAAAGAATCTTACCTTATAATCGTATATAAACTTTTAATTAACAAAGGCCATAACGATGCTTTCGCAATTGTATGAGAATATATTTTTATTGAGATTCAATAGTGAACAACGTTTCGATATGTGTCTGCCTTATGGCTATTCACCTTCCTCAAACATAACTTCCCCAAAATTTCGTGAAAACTATCTCTGTAATTTGAACTCATCTTGTAATAAAGAAATATGTGTGCACTCGAATTGATAACGTCAAAAAGAAATGTGAATGAAAAGAACACAAAGAAGAGATTCGAATACTCTCCGACGAAATCTAATCCTGGAATTGAAAGCATGAGAGCGGTTACCAAGACAGCAGGTGACACTGTCACTGCGAAAATTCCCGCCAAGACAATCACCATCTTGACAGTCTTTTTGTCCCTGGTCGCGATGATTTCAGACTGCCCCGTTGTGGCTACTTGCCTCCACTTTGCCTTTCTGTTGAGGGCAACCAATAGAATTGATGTGAAGAGGGCAACGGCGATGAAAGCGCTGAGAGTGTAGCTGGGGTAAAGTAGAAATGTTATTTTCTTAACTTTGTTACGGTCCTCACTAATTGAAGTTCCAAGAAGGGTTCTGTTCAGCTGTGGGTAAAACTTCCATGTGACGTAAACGGTTGCATATTCCGGTGTCAGCGACAAGATCATCACCGCGTAGATGGCCACCAAGATTACACATGCACGACGCAGTGTGATCATTCTCTTGACTTTTAACGGGTAGGCGATACAAGCACATCTCTCGGCCGTGATGTAGGCAGTGATCCAGGCGGTGACACGGCTGAAACACGCGTGCGGGAACGCGGATGTCAGGTGTTTCACCTCGGAGAATACGACCGGCGCCCCGGAGTTGACGACCAATGGATTCGTACAGACGTTAAACATGAGGTATGTGACCAGGCTGCACAGATCCGACACGGCCAGCATGGTGAAGCTGATGTTTATCGTTGTATTGAGTCCCTGGCGATAGAAGACGGCGATGTTGATAGAGTTGGCAACTATTCCGAAGATGGCTATGACTGAGCCTAAGAAAACCCCATTTACTATCTCTATAAGTTCTTTATCACGGCCACTTACATCAAATAAATTATCTCTTCTGGCGATATTTGAATCTTCGTAAACTGAAATCGATAAATTAGGCATGCTTTGTAACTTCACTAATAAATGTAACTTCACCAAGACAAGTAATTTCACCAAGACTTGTGACTTCACAAAGACTTGTAATTTCCCCAAAACTTGTACCTTCACAAAGACTGGTCACTTCACAGAGACTTATAATTTTACCAAGACTCGTATCTTCACCAAGATTCGTATATTCCCCAAGACTTGTAACTTCACCAATTCATTTAACTTCAAAAAGACTTGTAACTTTATTAGGACTCGTAACTTCACCAAGACTCATAACTTCAACAAGACTTGTAACTTCACCAAGACTTGTAGCTTCCCCAAGACGCGTAGCTTCACCAAGAATCGTAACTTCAAGTCCTTTAACTGCGGGTGTATTCTTTACATTGATACCAGCTTGAATTTTCTTTTAGTGATTCTTGTTGGTTTTCATGATTACATCTCATCGTTCAATTCTTTTTTTTTTCTTTTTTTTTTTTTTTTTTTTTTTTTTTTTTTTTTTGTTTTTTTTTTTTTTTTTCTTCTTTTTATTTTTTTTTTTTTTTTTTTTTTTTTTTTTTTTTAATTTGTTTTAACTTTCACCCCGATGGGAGTTTGTGTTAAGTGATTTAATACAGCAACACCCATTGAACGCAAAGCAAAAATGTTTATTTAAGAACTGTAACAATGGGGTGCTTTAACCGCGAGTTTCCCTGATGTAAACACATCTGTTAGTACTTAGGGTGTTAGACAAATTATTGTCTCGCGCTGTCAACCCAAAAACAATAATCTAGATAATGATCATGCTTGCACTGTAGTTTAGCAGTATGGGTAATTACTCATGTAGAAGCACCTGACGTCATGAAGCACAAAAAAATCCTGTCAAAAGTAACCATTATAAAAATCCCCGTCATTAAGTCCCGACACAAAATCATTCAACCCATTTTAGCGGCGTTTGGAAAATAACCGAAATTATTCTTTTTCAAAGATCATCCGTGTTTTAATGATCATTAAAACTTATTACAAATCTACAAGAAACACGGAGTATCTCCTGTCCAATGACATCTGTAAAAATTGATAATTGATAATTGGCCGAAATCCCTCTTAAGCTAACTGCCTTCATTGTTCAAAATGACGCACCTGAGGACCGCGAATTTTAGTGTGTGTCAAAGTTGTGAAACCTGTAACGGGGAAACTGATGCAAATGAATGTTGAGTCAGTCAAAGTTGATTTGTCGCTCAAACATCTTGGTTGTTGAGAATGAACGGCACGGGCGAGGAAGAACGATAGTCCGACTGTGCAGAGACCGATTCGAATAGTTCTCCAACGAAATCGAATCCTGGTATGAAAGCACGACAGCTGTCATGAGGATAGCAGGGGACACTGTGATTGGGAACATTCCCGCCAAAGAAAAGTGACCGGTTTTTTTGACAGTCTTCTTGTCCCTGATGGCGATGATTTCAGACTGCCCCGTTATGGCTACAAGCCAGAGTAATTACGAGTAAACTTTTTCAAGAAATTAAAACGCCTTTTGAAAACATTTTTTTTAAAAAGTATTTATCATTTCAGATTTGATTGTCGCTTCGGTTCCTAGTGCCAGAGGATCCAATTTATTATTTACATTTTGCTCAAAACGTACATTTAAAGAAATAACCAACAAAATTTAAGATTTAAAATTATATTATTATTTTTTAATAATTTATGCGTAGATATATTATAAAGGACTCATTTAATTGAAAATGTCATGTATTTAATCTTATTTAAACGAACAATAAGACAGGAACGTATGTTACAGAAACAAATTATCTCACATGGCGTTGTGTAAGTTCACGAAACTATGTGATTGAAATTCCTTTATATTAACGTCCCTTTTCTTTTTTTTTTTTTTTTTTTTTTTTTTTTGTTTTCGTTTTTCTTGGTTGTCTTGCTGGTTGGCAAAATCTTCGGGCCACAAATTGACCATTTCCCTGTCAACCTTTTCGGCTGAAACTAGGCATTTTTTTTTTTTGCTTTTTTTTTTTTTTTTTTTTTTTTTTTTTTTTTTTGTTGCTGTCGTTGTTCGTGGTTGACTTGCTGGCTGGCAAAATCTTCGGACCACAAATTGACCATTTCCCTGTCAACCTATCGAGCTGAAACTAGGCATAGAGATTCGTTGCCGATGACAACACATTGTGTTAAACTTGAAGTCCCAACCCGTAATCCCAAACCACAAAAATCAGTTTTTTTTCACGGAGAAGATGAAAGAAATAGGATGACACCGATTTCACTTAATGATATAGGATGACACCGATTTCACTTAATGATAACTGCGCTAAACGAGATTATTTATTTTAAAAATATCATAGGTGTGTTTGGTGAGTATTTTTTTATTCTGAAATAGTTGGTGAAAAAAATATGCGGTGTAAAAGCGGGTAATAAATTAAAATGATAATATAGTTCAACGACGTGAAAAATGTGAGGTTGCGAGCATGTGGGTGGGGAAACACCAATTGGAATTCTTATAAAGTGAGTTACTTGAATGCAAGTTTTGTCAAATGTTCAGCTCCCTTCCCCATTCCTTGATATGCCATTTGGCAAGAGATTTAATTTAAAAACTTTGTTTTTAGCAGTTGTTCAATTTCTTATTAGATTTTTATCTTGCACGACATTTCCCATCGTGTCTACTTTACGGCTAATCACCTTCCTCAAACATAACTTCTCCATAATCTCGTGAAAACTATCTCTGTAATTTGAACTCATCTTGTAATAAAGAAAGATGTGTGCACTCGAATTGATGACGTCAAAAAGAAATCTGAATGAAAAGAACACAAAGAAGAGATTCGAATACTCTCCAACGAAATCGAATCCTGGTATTGAAAGCATGACCGCTGTCAATATGATAGCAGGTGACACTGTGACTGCAAAAATTCCCGCCAAAACAATGACCATTTTGACAGTCTTCTTGTCCCTGGTCGCGATGATTTCAGACTGCCCGGTTGTGGCTACTTGCCTCCACTTTGCCTTTCTGTTGAGGGCAACCAATAGAATTGATGTGAAGAGGATAACGGCGATGAAAGAGCTGATGGTGTAGCTGGAGTAGAGTAAAAATGTTATTTTCTTAACATTGTTACGGTCCTCACTAATTGAAGTTCCAAGAAGGGTTCTGTTCAGCTGTGGGTAAAACTTCCATGTGACGTAAACGGTTGCATATTCCGGTGTCAGCGACAAGATCATCACCGCGTAGATGGCCACCAAGATTACACATGCACGACGCGGTGTGATCATTCTCTTGACTTTTAACGGGTAGGCGATACAAGCACATCTCTCGGCCGTGATGTAGGCAGTGATCCAGGCGGTGACACGGCTGAAACACGCGTGAGGGAACGCGGATGTCAGATGTTTCACCTCGGAGAACACGACCGGCGCCCCGGAGTTGACGACCAACGGATTCGTACAGACGTTAAACATGAGGTATGTGACCAGGCTGCACAGATCCGACACGGCCAGCATGGTGAAGCTGATGTTTATCGTTGTATTGAGTCCCTGGCGATTGAAGACGGCGATGTTGATAGAGTTGGCAACTATTCCGAAGATGGCTATGACTGAGCCCAAAACTACTTCGTTGATGACCTCAATAATTTCTCTATCTCTGTCACTTACATATTTATTTCCACTGGTCGCTCCATCCACACAATGTCCATTAACTACCAGAGACGTGTTTGCTACTGCCATCTCGTCTGTCTTTTAAGTTCACGAACCTAAAACAAATTCCTTAAACATATTTCGTAACATCAAGCGAAGGTCTCTAAGTTTCTTTTTTTTATTGGATGTTTTTCTTTCTTAAAAACAATTCCTTTAAAAAATTGAAAATTCTTTAATGTCTTAGGTCCTTGCAAAAAAAAAAAAAATGATTTTCATTCGGCACAAAACTCAAGTAAATCGTGTATTATGTTTAGATTAATTTATTGGTTATTAATTAATCATGTCGAAAGCTATATTTTCTTTGCTGTATTCATTATAGAAGAAATCTTCAAAAATTGTCAAAGATATAAAGCATTATTTTTTTGTAAAAATGTCATTAAAGCCAATGTACTCTTCTTCTTCAAAAAAAAAAAACAAAAAAACAACAACAACATGAAACTGGAATGTAAAACGTATGTACAGTTATGCCATGGTATGTCAATGAGAATATAAGGTTATACCATGGCATGGCATTGAGAATATAAGGTTATGCCATGGTATGTCATTAAGAATATAAGAATATTTGAAGATATTAAAAGAAGTGGTCGTTTGAAAGGAGAGCGATATCGAACTGATCTAAACGCTCACAGTTCGATGATGCCACGTTGGTCATAGTAATACAAGAAAGCAGGTTGGTCGCGTGACTAATTTTATAGCAGAGCGGTCTCTTATCTGTTTAATTGACGTCATCTCTCCACTACAAAATCCAATTGCCTGATTTGAATTTAATAACATTCTGTAGCAGACTCAAGATTTTACCATATATTAATTTTCGACACAATTATGACCTAAGTGATGTGGTTATAAAATTCTCATAGACACGAGGTATGGAGGTGTTTAATCACAAAGACATGTTCGTGTTAAAGTGATTAACGGCTGCTCTGTGATCGGGTTTGTTGTCTAAGAGTTATGGAACGTTAGTGAGTAAAGATTTATAGTAATTATCTTCCCTTGGTGTTTGCCTGGGGAAAAAAAAAAGACTACAACTATAATTATTAACACCCTGCACTGAATGTTGGCCTACCAAAAATTAAAGTTATTAAATTCGTTAAATGTCTGAGAATATTTTTTTTTGTAATAGATTTTGGGACGATTCGGCAACGTCGCATCACAAACGATCTATTTTTTCTTACAAAGATTAAGAGGTCATTGAAATACATGATAATAAATGAAGCTCTGCATTCAAGCTTGTGAATGAAATAGTAACACAAGGGTATGTGGAAGCTTGAATCAAAAGACGGGACAACAAGAGAAGAACGTTTCGGCTAAGAGCCTTCCTCGGCAGACCGGACAAACGTTCTTATCTTACTGTCCTGTCTTTCGATTCAAGCTTCCCCCATACCATGTCTTACTATTCTATTTCAATACAAGGGTTATAATAAAATGTTGAACTTTCAAAAAATTTGTTTTATTATTTCCACAGCTAATGAATAACAGTTTACACGTGTGAATATGAAGTATACAAAATAACAATGATTAGCATTGTAAATCAGGAAAACATATCAAATGTATCAAATTGTGCTCTATTCATTATTTTACAGTTGGGATTTTTCCTTCTGTCATTGTAAATCAGGAAAACTTATCAAATGTATCAAATTGTCTGCTCTATTCATTATTTTACAGTTGAGATTTTTCCTTCTGTTAGTAACTCCAGCATACATATCTCTATTCGTCTGTACTTTCCTTAAATCATTAATCAATAATCATGCGTGTGGGAATGCATTCTCCAACCTGAGAGTTAAATTTCTGGTACACGTTTCTGCATGATAATTTGTCTCATAGCGTTGGTATCATGTTCTTTGGTACACACTCCACCATGGGCGCCCGCAGAGGGGGGCAAGGGGCGGGGTGCACTTGCCCCCCCCTGGATTGATTGGATAAAATTTTTTAGATAAAAATAGACAAAAAATGTATTAAAGTAAAGAGAAAATAAAGAGAAAGTAACTAAGCTGATGTCCTGTCCGTTCGTTCACCATACAAATACGCTACAGTAAATTAAAACTACATTAAAAACATTACTAACAATTTTTTGCCCCCCCCTCCCTTGGAAAGTTAATCGATTATTTTGCCCCCCCCCCAGAAAGTTTTCTGCGGGCGCCCATGCACTTCACATTTCTATGCTTAGTCGCTTGCGACGAGAGACATCCTTGGACCATTTTAAAAGTGAGGGAAGTTTCATAGAAATTTATTATCATAAAGCTTTGTTTATTTCTTCAAAAGTTCAAACAATTTCACCAAACAATGTGACCAAACAGTGTGACCAAACAATGTGACCAGACATTGGACCAAATAATGTGACAAAACAATGTGACCAAACAATGGAACCAGACCATGGGATCAGACAATGGGATCAGACAATGGATCCCGACAATACGACCAGACAATGGGACCAAACAATGGAAACAAACAGTGGGAACAAACAATGTAACCAACAATGTGACCAGACAATGTGACCAAATAATGCGACCAAATAACTTGACCAGACAATGTGGCTATCATTTCTGCTTACAGTGTTAAAAAAGTTTTTTAAAATTAAATCTAATTTTATTTATTTTTATTTATTTATTTTATTTATTTATTTTATTTTTTGGGGTAGTAAAGGGAGGGGGGAGGGGGGCTAGGGACAGGGGGCGAATAAAAGTCCGATTTTCAATGGTCACCAGTTTCATTGCTGTCGCATGAAAATACGCTAAGAGTTTAAAAATATTTGCCGTCATATCACCATTTGTTTTCCCTTTCTAGTGCAACTCATCCCTTTATTTTAACAACCAGCGCTTGACCGGGTGCCAGAAGGATCAATACATTGATCGTGTTCCCTCAAAAATATAGAAAAGGAAGAAGAAAGGTGCAGGGGGTTTTTTTTACACCGGGTCCGGGTATTTTGAGAAAATACCCGGTGGCTCCAAGGGAAAAAAAATAAATAAAAATATTTAATTTCTCATTTTCTATAATATTGGCAGGTCTTTAAACAATAGTCGTACAAGACAGTCCTACACCCTACCTTCCCGGCCATATATTTTCCGGAAAACTTTTCTCTCCCATGTGTTTGATATTTTTTCTGACGTTTTTTGCTAGGGTCAAAGTTTCACTTGCGTACATTACAACTGGTCTGATTACAGTTTTATAAATAGCTTGCTTTTTTTTTTTTTTTTTTTTTGTTTTTTTTTTTTCTTTTAGTTTTTTTTAATTTCTTTTTCCATTTGTTTTTTTTTTCTTTTTTTTTTTTTTTAATTTCTTTTTTTTTTTTTTTTTTTTTTTTTTTTTTTTTTTTTTTTTTTTTGTGGGGGGGGGGAGGGGGGGGGGGGGGGGGGGGGGCTAGGGACAGGGGGCGAATAAAAGTCCGATTTTCAATGGTCACCAGTTTCATTGCTGTCGCATGAAAATACGCTAAGAGTTTAAAAATATTTGCCGTCATATCACCATTTTTTTTTTTTTTTTTTTTTTTAATTTTTTTTTTTTTTTTTTTTTTTTTTTTGGTTGTGTTTATTCCATTGAGTATTTTCTAACTACTGTTTCCAGTCGATATTCTTTCCTTTATCTCTGTTAGTAAATTCATTTTATTTTATTTAATAAAGATCCTAAGTATTTAAATTGATTTACTTATACAAAAGTGTGGTTTCTAATTTTAATATTTTCATCCGTCTGTTCTTCTCTTTTCATAGTCTTGCTTTAAGTCTTTTGGGTGTTAACTCCAGCCCTGCTTGTAGTGATGCGCCTTCTCATTCAATAAAGGCTCTTGATATAGCTTTAATACTTTCCCTAACCACGCAGTTTTATCAGCATTTTCAAGATACTGAAGGATTTAGTTGTAGAAAGCGCTTATTGATTGTGGGTCTTTGGTTTCGCTCAGAATGCATCCTGTTATTGTTCGTCGGGTGTCAATATGTATGTTTCTTATAACTGGCTCTGTTAGGTTAAATAGCATAGAAGACGGTCGGTCTCCTTGTCTTACTTACTTACTTACTTACTTATGCCTTTCTACCCCGCCTAGGGCTTAGGCCGTCTACAAGAATTTTCCCCTCATCACAATCCTGTGCTTTTCTTTCCGATTGCTTCCAGGTGTATCCCATACTTTGCGTGTCTGCCTCTAGCTCGCTTCTCCATGTATTCCTAGGCCTTCCTCTCTTTCCTTTTCCCTGTCGGTTCCATGTTAGGCATTGTCTGGTGGTGCTATCTGTGGGTTTTCGGATCGTATGCCTTATCCACCTCCATCTTTTCTTTATGATAGCTTCATCAATGGGCACCTTGTCTTAGGCCTTGTCTAATCTGAAATTCCCTTTAATTTTCTCTCTGAACCTGATTTTGATGTTTGAATTGTTTAATATTACATGTATCAATCTTGTCAGTATGTTGTGCATTCCATACTCCTGCAGAGTCTCATAAAGATATTTTCGTTTGAGGCTGTCTTAGGTCATTTTACAGTCCACATAGAGTTAATGTACTGGGATATTATATTTGTAGCATTTCTGTAATAGGCATCTGCTGGTAAAAATCTGATGCGTCGTCGATATTGTTTGTCTGAGTCCACGTTGGTTATCACCTGGTATTTGCTCAGTTTACGGTTTTAATCTTTTGGCAATCAGATTTGTCTTTGTTTTGTTTGTAACATTTAATACGGACATTTCTCTGTAGTGTGTGTGTGGGGGGGGGGATTTAATCTCATTCTTAAAAAAGTTACAGAAGGAAATATTATAATTATTGAAACATAGGTAAGTTTAAACTTTCATCGACTTTGTACTAAATTTTAATTTAAATGTATCTCAAGCCCACGTTGTTTAACCAGGCACTTTGTATCAACATTTTTTTTTTTTTTTTTGTTTGTGACATTTAGTACGGGCATTTTTTTGGGGGGGGTGGGGGGGGGGGGGGATTTAATCTCATTCTTAAAAAAGTTACAGAAGGAAATATTATAATTATTGAAACAGAGGTAAGTTTAAACTTTCATCGACTTTGTACTAAATTTTAATTTAAATGTATCTCAAGCCCACGTTGTTTAACCAGGCACTTTGTATCAACAAAACATAGTAAAATTAGAAATACAAAGCACAAACGAAAAGCAAATATCCGGCTAAACTTGATGATAGTGAGGCGACCTTCTCAATGCTGTTAGCAATGATTGCTGTTACTTTGCGTGTCTGACACTCTCTGACATTTTGAAGGGTCGAGGGTACATCTTCCGATATGAGAAAGCATTGATTGAAACAGACAATACCCAATAGTGTCCATCGACACACACAGTGTTTAGCTGACATGATAAACACAAACTATAATCTCATGCTTGATTCTCACCAATTTTTAAGGTAACAAATTGAAAAAAGAATCTTGGCAAAAAAAAATTGCACGCTGTACTCAGTGACGGAGTACTTCGACTACCCTGGTGACACATGATCGCTAAAGGCAGGTTATACCAAGATGCCAAGGAAAGGACAAACAGACTGGTAGTAAATACCACAGGCCTTAAAATAACTCCAGTAAGTCGGGCTATATGAGAAAAGAAAGGGCCTGATTCGTGGTCACGATCAATTTAAAGATACAACCGAGGCCACTTTAAAAGGGGATTGTTACAAGAAAATCAACGCTTGGATCAGCAAAGAAAGTTTGGGACAACGGGATCCATTGCGAGGTCGATTATTTAGACAACAGAAAGACTGTATAGACAGCATACTGTATAGATAAAAGACTGTGTAAACATAAGACTGTATAGACAAAAGACTGTGTAGGCAACATTCTGTACAGACAAAATTCTGTAAAGACAACATTCTGTAAAGACAACATTCTGTAAAGAAAACATTCTGCATAGACAACAGACTAGAGACACCACACTGTATAGACAACTAATGCACGGTGCACTTGCCAATGGAAACACTCAATTTGTATGCAGAAAATCAAGGATTTAGGCTCAAATAAATGACCCTTGACCTATGGTCATAGAAGATATCTGCTTTGGATCGCACAAGCTGTACAGGCGGATTAACTGTTGGATCACACTCCTTGGAGATTAAACGTACCGCTCGCTCCCAAAGAAAGCGCAGAGCAAGGAAGAGTATTAGTTCTCCAATGCCTATAGGTCCCCAAAATAATTGCATCCGACTTGCGGGCAAGCCTTCTAGGCAACAATTGGACTCATAAGACACCTGGGGGGAAGGCCTTCTAGGCAAAAATTGGACACACAAGACACCAGCAGGGCGAGCCTTCTAGGCACAAATTGGGCTCACAAGATGCCTGCGCACTCAGCGTCAAATATTAAACATTTGGTCATATTCATATGCGAAGGTCAAACAGCAACAGAGTTAGCAACCATGGGCATCTACAACAAGACCGTAATATTAAAAAATAAATATCTTTTGAGTTCTCTAAGGAAAAGAATGATGTAAGATCAAATGCTAAACAGAACCAAAAGAGAGAGTCTTCCAGACGAAATGTCTTTAAAGAATCCATAAAGTATTCTACCCCAAGATAAAGTTCAATAAAAAATCTAAGATGTTAAAATGAAAGGGACTTTGCTGAAACTGTAACACACATCATTAAAGTCGCCTTAGCCGTGTCTCTAGAAACCCACCAAGCCAAATGCCCAGCACGGCCCCAAGTAAACGGAAACGACAGATTACTAAAAGAGACCTAATGCAGACAAACCAGACAAATTTTGCGACACGCAAAAGACACCCAGTGGAAATATCCCCACCAGACTCAGGCTGATGGTAAGACGTATTGTTCCTTGGCGTTATCTCTTCTGTCACCAGCCGGCGCACCTGGACTAAAGGAATCAATGCAATTAGCTACTGGCATCATTATTTAGATTAGACCATTAAGTATTTCATGAAAGCTGGAATGAGTGTGGTACTCTCTTTATTATTTAGGATTTCATAACATATTAAAGTTTTGTTTTTTGTTTCGAACAGTAACTAAACGTCTATATTTCCTACTTCATTTGAATTTAAAATGTTTTCTTTGTAAAAAATTTGACAAGATTTTTTAAAAATCTCATGAAAAGTCTCCCTGTACTTGGAACTCATCCTGTAATATAGAACTAAGTGAACACTCGAATTCAGCGCATCAAGCACGAATGAAAAGGAAAAGCAGACGAAAAAAAGGTTGGAATACTCTCCGACGATATCAAAACCAGGGACAGTCAACCCGACAGATAACAAGATGACCGTTGGCATGACACTTGCCGTGAAAAACCCGGATATGACGATGACCATTTCACTGTCTTCTTGTCACGTGGCGCCATGCTCTCTGATTGATGTCTCCCCGAAGCAGCCTTGACTCTCCACCTTGCCTTTCTGTTGAACTCCAGTAAAAGGATCGCCGTGAAGACAACAATGGCAACAAAAGATACCAGCATGTAGATGGCATACAGAAGGAGACTCAGTCCTTGGAACTTGTACCTGTCTGGTCCGAAGGCGAGCCCAAGAAGAGTCCTGTTCAGCTGTGGGTAAAACTTCCATGTGACGTAAACGGTTGCATATTCCGGTGTCAGCGACAGCATCATCACCGCGTAGATGGCCACCAAGATTACACATGCACGACGCGATGTGATCATTCTCTTGACTTTTAACGGGTAGGCGATACAAGCACATCTCTCGGCCGTGATGTAGGCAGTGATCCAGGCGGTGACACGGCTGAAACACGCGTGTGGGAACGCGGATGTCAGGTGTTTCACCTCGGAGAACACGACCGGCGCCCCGGAGTTGACGACCAACGGATTCGTACAGACGCCATACATGAGGTATGTGACCAGGCTGCACAGATCCGACACGGCCAGCATGGTGAAGCTGATGTTTATCGTTGTATTGAGTCCCTGGCGAAAGAAGACGGCGATGTTGATAGAGTTGGCAACTATTCCGAAGATGGCTATGACTGAGCCCAAGAAAACAGCATTTACTATTTCTATAAGTTCTTTAACACCGCCACTGACATATAACAGATTATCTATACCATTAATGTTGAAACCCTCGTAAACTGAAATAGATAAATTATACATGCTTTGTTTGTTTCCCTCTCACCACACACAATTTTTCTGTCCATAAATTTGATTGTTATTGTTTAAGAAGTTTCACTAGGACTTGTGACTTCACTAAGACTTGTAACTTCACTAAGACTTGTAACTTCACTAAGGCTTGAAACTTCACCAAGACGTGTAACTAAATTAGGACTTGTAACTTCACTAAGGCTTGAAACTTCACCAAGACGTGTAACTAAATTAGGACTTGTAACTTCACTAAGACTCGTAACCCCAAGTCCTTTAAATGCGGGTTAATGTTTTTACATTTTTATCAGCCTTGATTTTCTTTTATTAGTTATTTTGTGTGTGTGTCTTCATCCGATCTCATCGTTCAATTCGTGTTTTTTTAAATACGGGTTAACTGTTAGCCCGGATTCAGTTGTTGCTCCACAATTAAATGCAGCAACACCCGTTTATGAACTGTAACATTGGAAATTGCTTGGACCGTGCGTTGACTGTGTGTACAGACATGTCTATTTGTACAAGGATCATTAAACAAATTATTTTCTCGCACTACCAAACCCACCCAAAAAATAATAATCCAGGTAATCATCATGTCTGCTCTATAGTTAAGCAGTATGGTTTATTACTCATGTATAAACATTGGATAGGATTAAGCACCTAAAATCTGTCAAGGTAATCTGTCAATGTAATCATTAGAAAAGCTCCACAATTAAATATCAACACAAAATCATGAAATCCCAATTTAGCGGCGTTGGAAAATAACCGAAATTATCCCTTTTTTTTAATAATCATTATAACTCATTATGATTCTACCAACAACACGCAGAATTTCTGCCAAATGGCATCTGTCAATATTGATGATTGATCACTGGCACGTGACCCTGTTAAACCAACCGACTTCATTGATCAAGATGAAGCACTGGAGCACGGCGGATTTTATTGTTGTTTTTTTTTGTTTAAAAAATGTAGAACTAGTAACGGGAAACTTTCACAAAGAAATGTTTGGTCAGTCAAAGTTGACCTGTGGTCAAAAACATATTGGTTGTCCTGAATGGACAGCATGGGCGATGAAGAACGTGGGTCCGGCTGTTCAGGGACATTCCGTTAACTCTTAAGTTCACATTTCTAAGAGATTGAATGACATTTTGTTTTAACATGGGACAAAAATACCCAACTATTTGAAATAATGTATAGTTTCTTATTGATTGTCACTTCGGTGCCTCCTGCCAGATGTTCCACTTTACTATTTACGTTCTGCTCAAAATATATATTTGAAGACTTTATTTTTTTTTTTAAATAACGCTTCAAAATCAAGCTTAAGTTTGACCAATGTATCATTGAATTTATTTATATAGGACTTATTTAATGGGCAAATTTCACTTTTTTTTCAATCTCATTTAAACGCACATTTATACAGAATCCGTATTTTACAGGAAACGTTATTTGACGTTGCGTTGTGTTTGTTCACATACCTAAAAAATAATTTTCAAAAATAATGATTATGCACAACTCTACCTGAAGCGGGTAATAAATCATTTGAAGAAAGTGATTGACCCCATGGGTCAAATTCATTGTGAAGTAATTTTGAATGCACTCGGTTTTACTCATATGGTTTAATCTTAATGACATAAACAATTTCATTTCGCTAACGTTTGGTCTAGTCCACCCCAACCCCCAACGCGGGGCCGGCCCTACGGTTTCTGGCGCCCCGGGCAAGCTTAACGTTGGCTAACTTGATAAGTATTATCATTAAAAAAATGTCCAAGGAAAAAAAATAAAGGTTAGGTAATGAGTTTATTACCTCATTTTTTGTTGTTGTTTTTTGTCACCAACAGTGAACTTAAATATTGTGTTTTTATAGCTGAACTTTGAACAATTAGCCCAAATAATGACTTTTTTTTCTATACTCCATCCTTTAGATCCATTTGTTTTATTGCACTTTCTATTTTTCTTCCATGGCGCCGACATCCATTTCTTTTTTTTTTTCCTATTCTTGGAGACAGATGATGGCGCCCCCCCTGCCCGAGTTGCCGGTACCTTGTAACGGCACTTACCCCAACGGGCCGGGTCATACTAGGATTTATTCGTCATGCCCATGAGAGCGGTAGCAGGGGTATTTGAGTAAACGTTTTAGAACTTAATTTTATGATGATGGTCCAAGTTTATCGATCGTAACATCCATAACTCCGTGGGAGTGCTTCATCCCATCCCCTCAAATCCTTCTCGGTTCGATTGCGTGCCCAGGTAGAAGGTCAACGTAGCTGGCGTGACTGCTGAGCTACACGGTATTCAGCTCATCTCACTAGCAGCGTGCCCTAAATATTACCGTGCAAAATGTTATGTTGTGTGCATGAAGACAATGATAAAATGGTATCTGTTTGCATAAATACAACGATAAAATGTTATCTGTGTGCATGAATACAACGATAAAATGTTATCTGTGTGCAAGAATACAACCATAAAATGTTATCTGTGTGCATGAATACAACCATAAAATGTTATCTGTGTGCATGAATACAACCATAAAATGTTATCTGTGTGCATAAATACAACGATAAAATGTTATCTGTGTGCATGAATACAACAATAAAATGTTATCTGTGTGTATGAATACAACGATATTTTCATGTGCCCAATTTCGGTTAATATGTAAAACCGACTTTAATTTTTTTTTCCTAACTTAAAACAATTAAATTTTATCCCCGTTCTCTTGCTAAACAAATCTCAGACCATGTTGCTAAACTAATCCTCATACCATCTTGTTAAACTAATCTCAGACCATCTTGCTAAACTAATCTCAGGCCATGTTGCTAAACTAATCCTCAGACCATCTTGCTAAACTAATCTTAGACCATCTCGCTAAAAAAAATCTCAGGCCATCTTGCTAAAATAATCTCAGACCTTTTTGGATGCCATAAATTTTACAACTTAAAAAAAGGGGGAGGGGGGGGGGGAATGTCTTATGTAAGTTAAATCTTACCACTTGGATGTAATTTATAAATGTCATCTAGATGAATACGTTCCTTCTGTTTACACATCAGCATTCGTCCATATTTCCCCAAGGGAGGAGATAAGATCCATACAAATTTAAGGTTTTTTTTGTTTTTTTGTCTTTTTCATAAACCCATTTGCATATCTTAAGTAAAAACTAAATCTAAATATTGACCAAAGTTATGTCATGATGTGTACCTGCTATCCTATGTAAAGTTCAGGGGCTTCTTAACATTAAAGGAGAAATTATGATTTCCTTTGTGAGCCCTTTGAATATTAGATTAGTCTTTGTCCATCTCTAGTCAGCACAACGCTATTCCTTTAAGTTTCCACATTGTTCCTGTATTTATTGGCACTTTTTAGTTTGTGCTTCTGAACTGTAGCGGATGAACCTCTTATGCATCCCACTCGGTCCAGCTCTTATACACTCCACTCCGTCCAGCTGTTATACACTCCACTCCGTCCAGCTCTTATACACTCCACTCCGCCCAGCTCTTATACACTCCACTCCGTCCAGCTCTTATACACTCCACTCCGTCCAGCTCTTAAGAACTCCGTTTTTAATGCCAAAGAAAATGTAAGCCTGATCAGGGCCTTGTAAGGATGCCTCTGTTTTAAGTAGTACACATCATCTATTTCCAGACAACAGTTTCCTCCTGGCCAATGCCCGCATCGTCGACTACCCCATTGTGTACATGAACGATGGCTTCTGCAAGCTGGCGGGCTACAACCGCGCGGAGGTCATGCAGAAGTCCAGCACGTGCAGCTTCATGTACGGCGACCTCACGGACAAGGACACGGTCAAGAAGGTGGAGGCGTGCTTCGAGAAGCTTCAGCCGGAACAGGTGGAAATACTGCTGTACAAGAAAAATAGTGAGTTGTCCTTCCTTTTCGAGACGGTGTCTATATTTGTTTGTAATTTTTATGACTTCTTTAAATATCTCTTATATATATATATATATATTTCGCCTCGGGTTTGTCCCGCTTCCCTTTCACAACCGTCCTTCCCACTATTTGACATGTTTTATATTAATAGAACTGAACGACAAAACAAACCAAAAAACTGTCAAGCCGCGAGTGTCTTGCGTGACGGTTGAACTCGGGTAAGAAGTTTGGACTTTTTTTGGAGACGACAATGTTATTAATCAATAAAGGGCCACGGGTATGTTGTAGGACTGTCTGTAGGGCTTTCTGTAGGACTTTATGTAGGCCTATTTTTTTTAAGAGCTGATAGGACAGAAAGGGTGTAGGAATGTTTGTAGACCTATTGTTTAAAGGCTGGCAGGTAGGATGTAGGACTGTGTGTGGGACTATTGTTTAAAGACTGACATGTAGGGTTAGGGACTGTCTGTAAGACTATTGTTTAAAGGCCAGCCGATAGGGTGTAGGGTATTTCGGCTTCGGTTGCCATTTGATCACTTTCAGCCTAGTTTCGGTTTCGGCCGGCAATAGGATATTCATTATTGCTCGACGTCTTGCTGTCATCGTATGTTATATGAATAATACTCTGCGAAGCTGCTGACAGCTGTATGATTACCTTCTTGTCCTATATTTCCAAAAATTTAAATTTCAATTAGGTTTGGCAAATGTAAAAAGTTTGTGGCACAAAAATAATGGAATGGTCATAATCATTATTTTTGTTTTAATATTTTCAACAACAAAAAATGTAACCCTATGTTTATCCAATTCCTTCATTTGTGATATTCATTTTGATGTATCATTATCATGCTCATCAATGTTTTTATAGGCAAAGGTGAATAATATTGAATAATCCTAGGGAATGGTAATGGCCCGCGATCCGCGAGTTTGAGAACCCTGCATTAGATTTATTTATTAATGTTCACGATGATATTATTGTTTATTTTAAAAAAAATATCTAAATATTGATACTTTCCCTCATAATTTTCGATGAATTTAGCAAAAATGCACGATCTCAT